ATCGAGTCGATCAACACCTCAGTGACATCACCCTTGCTGCGCAAGGGGAAGACTGTGGTGTAACGCGAGTAGTCGTCAACCACCAGCAGGAAGTAGCGCTCGTGACCCTGTCCACGGACGCGGGCCGGGCCCCACACGTCCATGTGAAGCGTCTGCAGCGGGGCCTCTGTCGGAGGAAACTGGGAGGAGTGAGGGGCAGCCCGCTGCCGCCCCTCGACATAGGGGACGCAGGTAGGGCCAGGCCCCGGAGGAAGGGGAGGGAGGGACCGGGGAAGACCAGAGACAAGGACACGGGAGGCCATTCCTCGGAGACGAAGCAGGGAGGGGTGACCAAGGTGGTGGTGCCAGAGGAGAGCCTCGTGAGACAGGAGGCGACACGAGCAGGGGGCAGACTCAGGACCAGACCTGGACGCAGCAGCTAATACCTGACCTGACGCAGCTACCTGACCAGACACAGTGACTGGAGGAGACGCAGTGGTCAGTGTGTACAGGCTCGACCCCGGCCGACGTGTAAACGTTGCCAAGTGTCGGCCTGTCCGAGCGTCCGTGCAGTGGGTCACCCGCTGACTCGCAGGAGTGAACTGGTGAACCCCCGCATCTTGTAGGGCAGCACCACTCACCAAGTTCGTAGAGAACGAGGGGAGATAAAGACCAGACAGGGTGCCAGAGGGGGCCGCCGGACACGGGAGGACAGTGGAGAAGTGAGCAAGGACAGGACCCCTAGAGGGGTGTGCCAGAGAGACTGCAACTGGACGGCCAAGCGGCGTGAGTGTGGTGCGGTCTCGAAAGAAGGAGCGAGAAGCCCCCGAGTCAAGGGTGAAGGTGTGAGAGGCCGAAGCCGACGCAGTACTTGAGAGAGCAGACTCACCAGCACCTGAGGGAGCAGACGCACGAGCACCTAGAGCAGCAGCCTCGCTAGCACCTAGAGCAGCAGCCTCACCAGTACCTAGAGCAGCAGTCTCAATGCCCGGGTCGGGCGGAAAACACCGGTAACAGTCACCCTTAGCACTAATAGTTACAGCATACATGGCAGCAAGAAAAGCATCAGAGTCAAGGTCAAAGACAGCTACTCCCGCCCTAGACAGCTCGCCCCAGCGGGGGATCTCAGTGGCCTCAGGGAACTGGTGATGCCAAGCGTCCGTCAGGCGGCCAAAGCATTGCTGGGTGGAGTGCGCACCCCGGCACTGCTCACCCGCGCGGTCGCCGGTGCGTAGGACGTAGGTGCACGGACCTGTACCCCAACCCCTCTTGCGTGCAGCGTACCACTCACGGAGCTGCTGCGGAGGGGGGAATGTCACGAGTGCGCTGCTGCTGCTGCTGCTGCTGCTACTGCTGCTGCTGCTGGCATTGACCACCACCGGAGCCGACCCTCTGCGCAGCGCCACCCCGACCAGCTCCACCTCCTCCGCCGCCGCCTCCTCCACCACCGCCACCCCCGCCACCTCCGCTCCCACCGCCACCACCCCCGCCGCCTCCGCCTCCACTGCCGCCACCGACACCTCCACCCTCGCCACCACTCCCACCACCACCCCCACCCCCTCCACCGCCTCCACCGCCACCTCCGCCACCCCCGCCAGCCCCTCCAGCACCCTTGCCCCCCTTGCCCTTGCTGGTGCGGCGTCTCTCGCTCGGCGCAGACGCATCGCCGACCGACTCGAAACCAACGAAGTCGGCCGTAGCAGCAGAGGCAACAGAGGGCAAAAGGGGGGAGGGGGAACACCCCTCAAAGACGGGGGTGCGAGGGTCACCACGAAAGGCTCCTACAGCGACTATGCTCTTCTCTGCTGCTAGGAGGGCCTTCTCGAGGAGGTCAACGGTGAGAGTGGTGGGGCAAACTGAGAGGAAGTGGTCCCTGACTACACGAATGAGTCAAGGAGGCGGGTGACTATGTAGTAGAGGGTGATGTACATGGGGGGGGGTTCTTGGCGCAGAACTCAGCAGGAAGCGCAGCGCGGTAGCGAGTGTCACTAGTGCGGAGGTGCGTAATGAGGTCAGCGACTGTGGGAAAGGCAGCAAGGTTAGGGAAGAGGTACGGTAGCATGAGGCGGCTCAGTGCAGCAGTGGCAGGGGAGGAGTAGCGCGCAACTACAGCGTCGTACAAGGTCTTAGCACTCTTGTACTGGCTAAAGTGCGCACGCTCAGAGGTAGGCAGGTGGCGACGCACAGCAAGACGTGCAGCAGCATCGCGTGTGGCCCACTGTGAGCGAACAGTGGCGTCCGCATCAGTAGTAGGGGCAGGAGAGGCACCAGAGGTGAGGTCAAAGAGGGAGAGACCGTCTGCCCTATCGCACTGTAGGAAAAGCTGCAGGTCATCTACCCAGACGTCAAAGTCAATGGCCCGACCCTCAGCGTCAAAAGCGAGGACACTAGGGGTAGCCATGACAGCAGTAGGCTTGCAGCGCGAACAGTAGGGTAAGGGCAGTTCAGTGACAGAGGCGCTGCTCTTACCGGACAGGGCGGCTCGGGCGGCTCGGCGGCTCGGCAACTCGGCAACTCGGCGGCTCGGGCAGCTCGGGCGGCTCGGCGGTACAGCGGCTTGGCAGCAACTGCAGCTCGGTGGCTCGGCGACCCGGCGGCTCGGGCGGCTCAGGTGGCGCGGTGGCTCGGGCGGATCGGGCGGCTCGGCAGCAGCTCGGCGGCGCCGGCGGCTCGGTGGTGACGGCGGGGCCGCGTGGGGACGGCGGCGGGGCCGGGTGGAGCGGCGTCGGGGCCAGTAGAGGCGGCGCCGGGGCCGGGAAGGGCAGCTCCGGGGCCGCAGGGGTAGGCGACGGGGCCAGCAGAGACGGCGCCGAGGCAGGGAAGGGCGGCGCCTGGGCCGCAGGGGTAGGCGACGGGGCCAGCAGAGGCGGCGCCGGGGCCGGGAAGGGCAGCTCCGGGGCCGCAGGGGTAGGCGACGGGTCCAGCAGAGACGGCGCCAAGGCAGGGAAGGGCGGCGCCGTGGCCGTAGGGGTAGGCGACGGGGCCAGCAGAGGCGGCGCCGAGGCAGGGAAGGGCGGCGCCGGGGCCGCAGGGGTAGGCGACGGGGCCGCTAGGGCGGCTAGGAGGGGGGGGGGGGGGGGTCGCGAGGGCGGCTTGAAGAGGCCGAAATGGCAGCGTGAAAGGGCTGCGAGGGCGGCGCGACGCGACGGAGCTGCGAGGGCGGCGGATCGGGGCCACGAGGGTGGCGCGACGCGGCCGCTAGGGCGGCGCGACGTGAAGGGGCCGCGAGGGCGACGCGACGGGGCCGCAAGCGCGGCGCGACGGGGCCGCTAAGGCGGCGTGACAGGGTCGAAAGGGCGGCGCGACGGGGCCGTGAGAGGGGAGCGTGACTCGGGCAGTATAGAGCGCGCTCCTGGCAGGGAAAAAAAAGGTGGTGGGCCCTAGGAACAGCTCCCACAGGGGAACCTGCTCGATACCATGAGAAACTGAACGAGAATGGAATGACTAAGGGAAAGTTGGGTACAAGTACAAACCCTAGAAAGTTGTACCCCATATGTGCTACCCCACTATAGCCTATAGTAGCTATTGCATATAAATCTGACAGCGGGCTAGGCCAGAAATGCTCGCCTTCATTTGGTTTTCCTTGTTCTACTAACAAGACGTGGCGAATATTACTCGCAATGAGTACTTTCCCCTCTCTGCCACCTTGTGTCCCACCTTGTGGAGCGATCATTTCTTGCTCGGGATGAGACAAGCAACACTCGTTTCGCCCTCAACACCCTTGCAAAATCCCACCCTGCATTACCAGAATGTCCACTCTGCCCCGCCTTCCATCCCCGCCTGGAAACGCAGAATCCTTGCCCCACCTGAAAACTGATCTGCTTCATATGAAAACCGACCAGCCCCACCCGAAAACCACACAATACCCTTGCGTTCTCATCACCACAATTATCCCTCTTGCAGTGTCCGACTTTCTACTGACAGTGGCGGAAATTCATGGGCCTTCTCTCCACACCTATTTTCTGAATCGAGTTTATTCGACATGTGGTTGCGCTTACTCCCTCCCAACCCAAGTGTTGAGCTCAGATTCAAGTGTTTGTGCCATGGTCTCTCCAAGCAGCACGAGGTTCAAATATGCAAATCTAGAGGCCTGATGTAAGGCTGGTTTTGTCACAGCACTCATTTTCTGAGTCATCTTATGCTCTTGCCCTGTGTTTCTCTCCCTTGCCTTCTCAATGCAATTAAGTTTGGCTTTATCCACCTATGCCTCTTGATCGTTTCAAGAGCGTAGCCGAGACAAGAAAGTCGTTCTGTCACGTTACTATCACGGAGGCGCGATGCTCATATTAGGGCAAATTGAACGGTATTCACTTGCCAAGAAGATCAACGTAAGTCTTGTGAAGATAAATTGAACATTGCTGCGAGTTTTGTCATCAAAGCCCCCTTCAAAAATATCGCCCAGCTCGGTGCCGACTGGCCGCTTGGCCGTAGCTCAGTCTGGTTCCAGCCCAAGCGGCCGGCTTGGAGCTGGCCCGGATCAGGCTGACTTCCGAAAGGCTGGCCAGGACCACCCTTGAGTCGCGCCGACCGAGGTAGGGCGGGCGCTCTGCCCAGTTCTTGCTCATGATGCCCACCCTGCCCTACCAGAATATCCACCCTGCCGCCTCCCACCCCCACCTCAAAACACACACACCCTGATTTACCAGAATATCCACCCTGCCGCCTCCCACCACCCCTTAAACTCACACACCCTGCCCCACCTAAAACGACACGACCTTGATTAGCCAAGCGAGGTGATTGGAACTAACCTCCACTAGCAATCTGCATGGGGATCATTTCCTTTCCTTTTCGGCCAAGTAGTAGAAAACGAGTGTCTGTTTACTTGACAAGCGGCAGGCACTTGCCTTGCCTCGAAGTACACAGAATCAAGCAAAATTCACTCATTGTTTGCTCATGTTGACTTGGATTCGACATCCCTCCATCCTGTTCCCTTCTTAACTTTTCTCAGTAAGGAAGGAGCCGGCTAAACTCAAGATCCAGTCACGGCTATAGAGAGGGAAGAAAATGAGATTATTGAAGCAATGGTAGGGCTGTTTGGATTGCTGACTGGTGAGTTGGCAGCAGTGAGGAAGGAGCTGGCGGCAACAACAAAGGAGTTGGCAGTAGTGACGGGTGAGCTGACCGTGGTAAGGGAGGAGGTGGGCCGACAGAATGAGCGGGTGGTGATGCTGGAGGAGAGGAATGAGGTGTTGGGGAACGAGGTGAATGAGTTGAGGCATGCACTGGGTGTTGTGGAAGAGAGGAATGTGGCGACTGCTGCTGTGGTGGAGGAGAAGGGGAGAAAGATGAATGCAGTGAAGGGAATTGACATCCTCAAGCATCCTCAATAGTAGTGAATGCATTGAATGCTGTGGTTGAGAAGGGGATTGACATCCTCAAGCATGATCAATAGGAGCCTCAGCCTCCCATACCTCCCTCCTGCCCGCCTCCCCCATACTCGTGGCCGACCACCTTCATCGCCACCACTGTTGCGGCATCCCATGACCCTGCCATGCTGCCCGGCTGGTGTGCCACAAAGGTGAGGTAAGCTGCTCACGCGAGTACAGGCAGGAAGGTGCCCGACTTCACTTCACCGCCACCATTACTGCTGCAGCCCATAGCTCTGCCATGCTGCCCTGCTGTGTGTCATGGAGATGAGCTGGGCTCCTTGCGGCCGATATAAGGCAGGTGCTATTGGTGTGCTGGGAAGTGCGCGGGGGGGGGGGGGGGGGGGGGGGGGGGGGGGGGAAGAAGAGGGGCATGCTGCTAGGTGAGAAGAGGGGAGTGGAGGATATCTGATGCTGGCATTGCACATGGGAAGGCAGTCATCGCATCTGCATTGTCAGAGATCGAGTGGCAGAAACACCATACTAGGCCTCCAAGGGGGAAGCTGCAAAGGAGGGAGGCATCACATGACAAGAAAACACGGACCATGCATCTCTCGAGGTGTAGTCACATCTCTCGAGGTATAGTCACATCTCTCGAGGTATAGTCACATCTCTCCGCCCCATCAATGTGAAACACCATGGAAGCTGTCGAAATGCACGAGTTCACTCACCACAAGGCCTAGATAAACTCACCAGCACACGAGGTCATACTCCTTGCCTCTGCACTGCCTCCACCCTAAGCAGATTCCAAACACTTTTCAAGTGACTGTAAAGCGCAAGCCACACCCACTGTGGTGTGAACAGCAAGTTGTACTCTTTTTTCCATATCCTTGGATGGATGCTCGGACTGCCCACCTGTTCCTTGGATGCACGTGACCATCTCTACCAGAACATGCTCATGCTGCCCCATAACAAATCTACCGCCATGTCGCTGATGACACCCAGCCTTGTCGAGCATCCTCATAATAATGACCATCCGCTTCACCACATTGCCCTCCTCTGCCCAACGCACATACCAGTGCCCAGCCCCAGCCGCCCCCGCCACCTCCTCTCCTCCACCCCTCAGACGCTGTTGGTGCTGTTGGTGTGGAATGGGGAAGGAAGTGAGGGGGAGAGTGTGAAGCAGGTAGAGGCATACTGATGAGCGAGGAGGTGGGAGTGGAAGATGGCCGATGTTGACATTGCACTTGGGGGAAAGCGGTGCCAACATTGATTAATCCATCAAGGCAAACTAGAGCCACAAGCACCATATTGGGTGGGGACGGGGCGAGGGAGCAAAAGTTGGGAGCACCCGGGACAGAGATCTGAGGGGTGGCCCGTACCCCTCAGTCTCCCTCCCTGCCTTTCATTCTTACGGTTTGCACCTCATCCTCTCACCTTGCTCCTCATTCCCTTTCCCCCACCCCTCAGTCTCCCTCCCTGCCTTTCATTCTCACGGTTTGCGCCTCATCCTCTCACCTTGCACCTCAATCCCTTTCCCCAACCCCTCTATCTTCCTCCCGTCCTATTCTCGGGGTTTGCCCCTCATTCTCCCTTCCTGCTCCTCATTCCCTTCCCCCCACCCCTCTTTCTCCCTCCCAGCCTTTCATTCTCAGGGTTTGCACCTCGGATATCTCACCTGCACCTCATTCCCTTTCCCCCATCCCTCATTCTCCCTCCCTTCTTTTCATTCTCGGGGTTTGCGCCTCATCCTCTCACCTCGCTCCTCATTCCCTTTCCCCCACCCCCCAATCTCCCTCCCTGCCTTTCATACTCACAGTGTGCACCGCATCATCCCTTCCTGTACCTCATTCCCTTCTCCCACCCCTAATTCTCCCTCCCTGCCCCTCATTCTCGTTGTTTGCGCCTCATCATCCATCCCTGCACCTCATTCTCTTTCCCCACCCCTCATTCTCCTTCCCTGCCCCTCATTCTCTTTTCCCCACTCCTCATTTTCCTTCCCTGCCCCTCATTCTCTTTTCCCCACCCCTCATCATCCATCCCTGCACCTCATTCTCTTTCCCCACCCCTCATTCTCCTTCCCTGCCCCTCATTCTATTTTCCCCACTCCTCATTCTCCTTCCCTGCCCCTCATTCTCTTTCCCCACCCCTCATTCTCCCTCCCTGCTCCTCATTCTCTCCCCCCCACCCCTCATTACACTGACCTGCCCCTCACTTGCACTTCTGTGCCCTCAACAACCAGGCCATGAAGTCCCTCTTGAGCGATTCCCGCAACGCTCAAGGACTCGTCACAAGAGCCCATCGGAAAATTGTGAACGGCGTTCGTGTCTAAGATGCACCCGAGACGGCAGATTTTTGGAACAACGTCCAGGTACGTTGCAGGTTGTTGGTTGGGGAATGGCCTTGTTTAATACTTTCGCTCGCCTTACATTTGTTATTTACCGCTTCCACCATTCTACAACTCACTGTTTTTCCAATCAAGATAAGCTTGGACCGGATGATGTTGTAGCCACCATCATTCTCGCCTCGGACGAAACGATGATGGACTCGAGAGGGAAGTCTGAAGGACATCCCATATACATGTCGCTGGCCAACATCGCACACGAGGACCATTGGAAACCACACGGTCATGCGCTGTTTGCATTGTTTCCGAAGTTTCCTCCGGAGTACACCTCGCTTGACCGTCTACAAGTATTCCATAAGGTTCTTGGCAAGGCGTTACAACCCCTCAAGGCCGCCAGTCATGTGTAAGTTCAAGTTCATTGGTTCTGTAACCCTAAACCACATTTGTGAGTGCATGGATTTTGCTACAATAGTTACTAACCTTCTTGCTTTCCTTTTGCACATGTTATGAACAGGGGCGCTCGGGTGGAAGACGCATCGGGCCATTCATTTACCGCATACCCAGCGCTGTATGCTTACATCGCGGACTACCTGGAGACATGTAAAATAACTTGTACAAAGTCGCTGGGTACAACTTACCCCTGCTCACTCTGCACCGTCCACAAGGATGGCCTCGCAGAATACCAGACACACTTAAAATGGCGCACCGTCCAGCAGCAACAAGACATTTGCGCAGCCCTAAAAGCACCAAGACGACGTGGGGAGCCAGACGTGGAAGATCTTTCAACCCATCCTGTTGAGGGTAGTTGTTGATGCTGTCTAAGTTGGATTTATCATATGTTTCACCTTTCCCTACCTCTGTTACCTTCTATTTGATATCACTTGTATATGCAGAGCGCACTCTGGGGGTGGAGGTTTGAGTCGGAACAATGGGGGAACCCACACCTAGCAGTCATGCCGGACCTTATGCACCAAGCAGACTTGGGCATTCTCGATCATATCCTCACAGCCTTGCGTGGCATCATCCTCGAATCAACATGTGAAGCAATCGACAGATAACAACTATTGCAATGTTGGCAATGCTGGTTCATTTGTAACCGTCCACACACTCAAATATTTTCTCACCACTTTGTTGTTCTTTTCTTGTTCTCAGGTGGCTCAAATACCTCAAACAGATTTTTAGGTGGGATTCATTACGGCTCCCGTCTGGGCAATACTTCAAGTTAGGTGCTTCCTACCAAGCGTATGAGCATCGTTCAGTGATGCAACTTCTGCCATTTCTCGTCTCCTCGCACATCGCGCAACCGCAACTGGACGCTGTCATTTCGTACCTCAGTTGGTACTCGGAGTGCGCAAAGGCAACAACATACGACGACAACACTCTCAAACGGTTGCAGGAGCTAGCCGTGAGGTAAGAAAACGTACATGTCTAGAACAAACTTTGTTATTCTCGAATCCTTAACGAATGTTTGTGCTCTCCCCAATCTGCAGGATGATCGATCAACTAACAACCGCATTTAAGCAAACGTCAAAGTGGAGATTCATCAAGATGCACCTGATAAGTCATTACGTCAAAGCTATCCGACGTGCGGGCCCACCCATACACTACGATGCCAACATTTCCGAGTTCTTCCACAAGGACCACATAAAACGGCCTTATCGTGCGTCCAACAAACGTGACGTATCAGGGCAACTTGTACGAGCAGAGGAGATCAAACTTGCGGTGGATTCTCTTGGTGCATCTGAAGAGACAGCGACGCATTACAACACCGCTATGCGCGAGGTGAGTCAAGGAAATTTGATGCAAATCTCAACAATTGCTTGCTTCATCACTACACACCAGTCACTTCCCGAAACACACATTGCAGAAACAGACGCCAAGGAGGAATTGAGCAAAAATCCCGCAACTGCAGATGTTGCCGCCTGTTGGTGCAACCCTATGGTTTGCACTCGGCTTGTTGTCCGTGTGCATGCATGTGTGTGTGTATGGAATGGTATGAGGGCATGGGATAATATATATTTCATGCTTATAATTGTGTGTGAATGTTGAGTCATGATGTCGAGTGTGTGTGTTGAGTCAATAGCGAGTTATCGCTAGACGCGTGTTACGCGGTCGTTTGTGTCTCGCGCGTGGTTTCTATTTTTGTCGTGCGCGGTTTCTATTTTGTCCTGTGTCGAACGTTCGGTGTGTCGCACGTGTGTGCAGCAGACCCATCAAGAACTCAAGGATGAGTTTGTGATGAAGAGCCCGAGCCTTGGTGTCAAGCCTCAAGTGATTTCGAAGCTCGCCAAAAGGGTACACCTCAAGATATTGAAGATAGTTACATTACTTTGTGTAGTGTAACATTTCACTTGGTGTAGGCCCTAGTGAAGGGTAGTTTCGAGACCCTTCGTGGTTGGGGACAGTGTGGCACTGTTCCACATCACTGTACCTCGGCTCTTGGGGTTTGTAGGAGCTGGGAGTCATTCCCAACTCGTAACTCTTCCTAACTCTTTCTATCTTGTGTTCTAAGACTATAGTGGCTGCCATAGTGCCGTTCGTTCAAACCAACGCTGTGTCGTCAATACTTAGTCAAATCGTGCGATCTAAAATGCCTATTGTAGGCGACAATAAGACGCTCCAGATCCAAGTTGAATCAAGTCATTTGAAGCTGTGTCCAGAACGATATGAACGTTTGAAGCCGCTGTGCAGAAATCCGACTGTGCACTCTATCTTTCGTTTTAGGCACATTGGAGCCTACTGTGACTATAACACCGCCAATACATCTCAGCCTGAAGCCGATCCGGAGGAAAACCAACATAACACTCTAATCGACGAGGGCAAAGGTCCTGGCGAGGGTGAGGAGCAGGACGAGGGTGAGGGACATCTCGACGAGTGCGAGCTAGCTGAAACTCCCATTGCACTGCCTCAGGACGATCCGGTCGAGGATGACCAGCCTGAGAGCTGAAGGTGCAGCGCCGATGTCACTGGCCTCATGGGCGCTGACCCAGTAGCTCACGCGTCAGCGCGTGGGAAAAAGCCGAAGCAAGCAGGTTAGTAAGTTCCGCCCGGTTTCTGTGTTTGTGCAAATTGACGTTTGTGCCACATATTTTCGTCCAAGCAGCCTACTAACCTACTTTTTTCTTTTCTTTTTTATTTTTTTCCATGCAGCTTGACCGATTCCGGTTAATGAGCAGGTGGCACAGAACCGCGACATGGAGCGGACGATTGCGCAACAGGCCGACACACTCGCGGCCCTCCGTCAGCAGTTGGAAAAGCAAGAACAGGAGGCTGCACGAATGCGGGCAGTCGTTGCTGCCCGCCAGCCGCCAGCAACGGGAGGTAGCCCCGGCCCATCATCTTCCAACTGCCAGAGTACCAGAGCTGGTGCTGGTTTGCTGCACGCAACAGCGCAGCGCAACAGCCCGCTGGCGACCACCAATGCGCCAGTCGTGCGGGAGGGTTCGGCAATCCCCCCTGTGCTCCTGGACCTATCGTTTTTCAAGGTTAGTGTTTAGGGTATCTGAATCATTGGTTACAGTTAGTCCTGTTGTCTTTGTATCTCTCGTTGACTGACTGACTTGTTTGCGTTCTAACAACTGCCTATTCTTCGCTGTCGTCGTGATGTGCAGCAAAAGTGCAACGACGCGGTCAACTATTTCATAGCGGGAGCTCCAGCGAGAGAGCAGTCATTTTACCCCTCCCTGGCACAGCTTAGGCACAAAGTGCACGAGCTGTACGAGGACGTCGGGGTGCCTCTTGACATGTTCAACCGGGTGATGGCGGAGAATCCCGAGCGTGAGCGCATCATGCTGCAGAAGATGTCGAAGCGCCGTTGCAACATCTACGCGGTGGCCAAGCCTTACGCGCATGGCCTTGGTGGCTATATCACCGAGAACAAAGTCGCGATGCTCGCGAGCGAGAACATTGTGTCAGAATATTATCTTATTGTTCTAGCCTGTAGTGGGGTGCTCTATAGTGAGTACAACCCTTCTAGGGTCTGCTATTTGTATCCTCATTCTTGCTAGTTCAATTCTCTTTCTTTCTTCTAATTTTGACATGCTATCAGAGCAGGTCGATCCCCTTGGATCGATCCTGTGGGTGTGTCCCCACCTTGCTTCCGCTGCTACTTTTTCCTCCCGCCGTGCGCCCCGAGGCGCGCGGCGGTTTTCTGCCCGCCGTGCGCCCCGAGGCGCGCGGCGGTTCATTGCCCGCTGTGCGCCCCGTGGCGTGCGGCGGGCTTCTCCTCTACGTCGCGGCCCCGCCCCGGCCCGTCGCCGCCCGTGCGCCCGCTCGACGCGGCCCGCCCTTCGTCGCGGACCCGCCCCGGCCCGTCGCCGCCCGTGCGCGTGCCCGGCTCGGCCCCGCCCTTCGTCGCGGACCCGCCCCGGCCCGTCGCCGCCCGTGCGCATGCCCGGCTCGGCCCCGCCCTTCGTCGCGGACCCGCCCCGGCCCGTCGCCGCCCGTGCGCGTGCCCGGCTCGGCCCCGCCCTTCGTCGCGGACCCGCCCCGGCCCGTCGCCGCCCGTGCGCCTGCCCGTCGCGGCCCCGCCCTACGTCGCGGCCCCGCCCTATGTCGCGGCCCCGCCCCTCGAAGCGGCCCCGCCTTACGTCGCGGCCCCGCCCCGCTCGTCGCGGCCCCGCCCCTTGTCGCGGCCCCGCCCTCCAACCAGGCTCATGGTGGGCCCCTTTCACCACACCGCCTCCCCCCCCCCTGCCATTTCCCGTCGCCCGTCGCGGCTCCTTCGGGAGCCGCTTGCGGCCCCCTCAGGTCGCCACGACGGACGACGGGAGGGGCGAGCTGTGGGGTGGCGGGTATGGGGGTGGTCGGTGTGCCTTCCTCCCTTTCTCCTCCTCCTCCTTCGTCTCCCACTGCTGCAGCTGTCGCTGAGGGGGGTGGTTGTGTGGGAGACTGGGTTTAGGGTTT